GAATGTCTCCTGTGTTACAGGAATTTTGCTATTAAAGCTGAAAAGTTCTGGGTGTGTCCGACTTGTCTGCCTACATGAGGTATTATAGGGGTGGGTGTCAGGAAGCAAAAGGCAAAGGAATTTAAGATTCTGTTCAGAGAATTTGGTTTCAGGTCCAGTATAGAGAAAATGAAGCAAAGCCAAGCGGTGGCAGTGCACACCTTAAATCCCAGCACTCGCTCGGGAGGCAGAGGCAGGTGGATTTCTGAGTTTGAGGCCAGGGTGGTCTACCGAGTGAGTTCCAGGACAGCCAGGGCTACACAGAGAAACCCTGTCTTCCGAGAGACGTGGTGGTGAGGTCATTTCCCGGCATCTCACATGTAACTCATTCAGTCACCTCTTTTCAATTCTGAGTGCCAGCTGAGTCACACACTCATGTCTGAACAGATGACCACCACCTTGCCTCTGCTGCAGTCTAGGAAAGGAGGTCATGGAGCCTCCCAGACCTTTTGCCAGAAGCTCACCCTAGAGCTTCTTCAGCACTTCCAACCGTTTTGGAAATACTGATATCAAGTGTGTTGCCACTGAAAGGTCTGAAGTGATCCTGTCTCTAGACCTGTCTCCTCTTCTGAGACTGTGGTGCTATTTTAAGCAGTTACTTCGATGTTCTCATGACTTGCTCCAGAAGTGAAATCGAGACTGTTGGAGATTTTCAGTACTCTGGCTGTCAAGGTTAAGGACAGTGTGTACCTAATGGGGAACTGTGTAGGTGTGGAAAAGAAGGGGAGACAATGAGTGACGATTTCATCAGAAGAGAGGGGAATTCCTTTAGAATCTAGAGAAGGCCAGCTGCAGTTCTGTCTGGCAGTAGAAGCAGTAGCTGCAGTTCGTTCTGTCTGGCAGTAGAAGCAGTACTGTGTAAGACAGAGATTCAAGAGTGGGAACTTGATCGATCAAGATTGGGTGTTTGAAAAGCAGAGAGGAATCTGAGCATGGAGTGAGAGCAAGTGATTGCAGAAGTGGCCTGCTGGATGGAGTCCATGAAGATGGCTTGGCTGCTGGCAGCCATGGCTGAGTCCTTCCATTGAGCTTAAAAGCCTCTGGTCTGGAATATGGCTCTGTTGACGGTGCCATCTGTAACCTCGTGATTTTCCACCCATCTGACTTGGAGAGTTTTTATATATGAATAAATGCCTAGGCTGATAGCTTTGGCTCGTTCCCTGACTATCTCAGAATTTAACTGCCCGTTTATACTATTCTAAATAGACACATGGCAATGTCCTTCGTTACAAGTGACTGTCTTTCTCATTGTTTAGAGGTGAATTACTGTGCCGCTGACTTTATCCTGGAATCCCAGTCTCTCTAGTGGATGTCCCACCTTCTAATCCTGCCTCAGCTCATTGGCCAGTCAGCTTCTTATTGACACCCGATGCTTCCACTTAATGCACAAGAGATCATCCCTACCTGAATCCTTTGGGAGAGGGCTAGCCTAGCAAGCACAAAGCCTGGGGTTCAGTCACTGGCACTGCAAAACCAGGTTTGGTGCTGAGCCTGGCACTTGTAAGGCAGAGGCAGGCAGATCTTTGTGAGTTCAATGCCAGCCTGGAGTTCATGGTGAGATCCAGGACAGAGCCACATAGTGAGACCCTGACTCAGAAAAATACCAAACCAAACCCCAGGAATAGTGACATGACCCTGTAATCCCAGCACTCAGGAGGATCAAGAACATCATTTGAAAAGTACAATGTCAAGGCTAGCCTGGGCTACATAAGGCTCTTGTTTCAAAGGAAATAAAACAAAAACTTCTAATACTACCACAAAGCCCACTCTATCATCTGAGCCAGAAAAATCTGACCTGTCCTTGTGGATAACTTTGGGAAGACTTTAGCTATTGTTCTTCTAAGGTCCATCCATCTACGTACATAGAAAGGAAGTTCTGAAAGTTTTCTGTGGTGTGCAGTTTTTATACATGCTTTTCTTTTATCTATTTTCCTCCATTTTCCTTTAGCACTTGTACCTGGTAGAGATTCTGTTCAGAAGATGCAGAAACTAAAATTCTAGTTCCCAAACTTACTAAGAGTTTTTGTGACTTATTAGTGTTTTCCAACTTAATTGCACCACGACCAGAGATTGGGATGTAAAGCATGCTGATCCTGCCTTTGCATTCTGTGGGGGTGCACACTCGTAATCCCAGTGCTGAAGAGACAGAGACAGGGGCATGCCTGGGCTCACTGGCCAGCCAGCTTAGCCTATTTGGAGAGTTCCTGGCCAGTGAGAAACCATCCATGCCTCAAAAAATCAAGGCGGCTGATGCTTGAGGGATGATGACACCTGAGATTGTCCTCTGATCTCCACACACACAAACACACGAGGCTATCTCATGGTATGTATGTACATACATACATACATACATACATACATACATACCATGTTGGTATAGTTGGCTTTTCTTCCATGGGAAATCTTATTGTCCATAAATAATTACAGTTATTTGTTTATGTTCTATTTTTTATTGTTTTACTGCCCTGGCTTTGACCTTGAATTTTAAGGGTCTGCTTCTGACACCTCATCAGAAAGCACAGTGTTTGGTGGTGTCCTCCTTCAGAATCTGATTCTAAATCGAAAGATGAGCCTTTTACTTTTAATCTACTCAGCAATGTTTTGGAGGGAGCTTTTTTTTCCCCATACATATGGGTGTTTTGACTGCACATATGTGTGTGCATCCTAGTGCCCGAGGATACCAGAGTTGTGGATCAGATCCTTACGATCCCCTGTCATTGGAGTTACTTGGGATTATGAGCCACCACATGGGTACCAGGATTCCAACTCAGGTCCCCTGGCAGAACAGACAGTGTTCTTAACCTCCGAGTCCTCGCTCCAGCCCCAGCAGCTAATACTTTTATTATACTGAATCTTCCTACTTATGAATAAAGTATGGCTCCTCTCTATCTTGGTCTTTAGTAATGTCTTTTTAATAATTCATATTTTTTTCCATTAAGGTCTTGCATAGCTTTTGTTTGGATCATTCTACATGTTATCTGTGATAATATATGGTAAACTTTAAATGATTAACACTGTAGGTTTTAAACTGCTTTCTTTTTGACTCTGTATGTGTGTGTGTATATATATATGCATATATTATATTTAATTTCTTTTTTTTTTTTTGTTTTATTTTGTCTTGTTTTTTCTAGACAGGGTTTCTCTGTGTAGCCCTGGCTGTCCTGGAACTCACTCTGTAGACCAGGCTGGCCTCGAACTCAGAAATCCGCCTGCCTCTGCCTCCCAAGTACTAGGATTAAAGGCGTGTACCACCACCGCCCGGCTATTTAATTTCTTAATAACAACTGTGTATTTGAGCAGGTGCATCTGTGTTTCATGCTACATCTCTGTACAGCTAGATGTTTGTTTGTTTTTAGATTAGTCAGCACTTTTTTTTTGAGGCATGGATTATTTCCTCCTGGCCAGGAACTCTCCAAATAGGCTAGGCTGGCTGGCTAGTGAGCCCAGGCATGCCCCTGTCTCTGTCTCTTCAGCACTGGGATTACGAGTGTGCAGCCCCACAGAATGCAAAGGCAGGATCAGCGTACTTCACATCCCAGTCTCTGGCAAGATCCCAGCGCTATCACCAGGGGATAATGACCAAAAGCAGGTGTCAAATGACCCCCAGGGAGCAAATTTGCCATGCATACATGCTGTTGATCTGGCCTATGGACTGCAGAAAAGCCCCTTACGTTTTTAAACACACTCATGTAAACTTTCTGATGCAGGCTATGAGAATGTAAATCCTATTTGTTTTGTCTGTTGTGGTGATGTTAATTTTTAAAAGGTTTATTTATTTTTATTTATGTGAATGAGTGTTTTGCCCTGCATATTATATATGTGCCCCATATATGCATGAGGTGCCCAAAGAAGTCAGAGGAGGGTACTGGACTCCTTGGGAACTGGAGTTGTAGAAGGCCGTTAGTTGCCTTGTTGAGTGCTGGGAGCCAAACCCCAGGCTTCTGATAAAAGGAGAGAACTGACTCCTGAAAGTTGTCCTCTGACCTTCACTTGCATGTGGCATGCCCACAAATCCCCTCCCTGCAACTATAATAAATAAAGGAAGTGAATGAGCAAATGTATATTAAAGTTAAAACCAAAAGAATAGATGCTGATAATCATTTATAGCCTAAAATTTAAAACTGCTCAGTTCTGATAGAAGCAATTGACAGTACACAGTCGTGCCTTGAGCAGGACATCTTCTAGAAGCGTGGTCCTCCCAAATCTTCTGGCCACTTCCACTGACGCCAATGAGAGTTTTGTTGGCCATTTTTGCCATGGAACGGGATATTGAGGTTGGGGGACTTGCACGTTTCTCAAGCTCAAGGTCCTAGGACTTAATCAGAACCCACAATGCCCTGATGAAAGGGCCTGTGGGCACTCGTGATGGAGTTGTGATTAAGGGTGGGAGGCTGCAGACGTTACAGATGTCGGGGCGTAAAGTGGGGGGGGGCAACTGGAGAAGGGACCGGAGTGGGGGGTGGGTGCGGTCAGGGGAGGTGGAGACCTCTTCTTGTTCACGAGGCCCCTTCACAGAGGATCTCCTTTGCCAAAACCTGCATTTGTTCAGGACACCTGCCTAGGGCTAAGAAGAGTGGGCGGGACGGTGACCTCTCTTAACTCAGCTGCTTAGTCATCGGACTTTTCTCCCCGTCCCCGCCCACCCTCCCACCCCCACCCCCGCTCCTATCCCCTAGTTCTCTCGTGGTAACTTAGTCATATTAGCTCCCCAGTAGTGATTTCCCCTTACCCTATTTTACATTCTGATTAAACCATGTGGGAATTTTTGGACACAGTTTCGTCTTTAATTTCATTTCCTCGAGTGTCTGGGTTTTCCTCTGTGTCTTTTGGCTTTTGGCTCAGTCTTTGACTCTGTCTGCTGAGGATCTCTGACTTACTAGGGAGACCAGTCGGAAAGGGAGGACCTGTGCTTTGACTCTCAAGCCTAAGTGTTTTGATAAGAGGATTATCTCTCACCACAGAGTGTCTCTAGTGCAAGAACTTTGAAAGAAATGAAGAGAGCCCTCAGCAATGATGATGTCTTGTCGTCGTTCCCGGAGCCTTGCTGAGTGGATGGAGGCTGGACAGGAACCTGGCTGCTGTGGTTCTGAACATGGCCCTGAGCCCTGTGTCTGCTGAGATCATTCACCAGGTGGAGGAGTCTCTTGATGAGGATGAGAAGGAGATGATACTCTTCTTGTGTAGAGATGTGACTGAGAACCTGGCTCCACCTAACGTCAGGGACCTCCTGGATAGCTTAAGTGAGAGAGGCCAGCTCCCTTTTGCTGCCTTGTCTGAACTGCTCTACAGAGTGAGACGGTTTGACCTGCTCAAGAAGATTTTGAAGACAGACAAAGCAGCTGTGGAGGAATACCTGTGCAGAAACCCTCACCTTGTTTCTGATTATAGGTAAATCATCAGCTTTGACCCGAGCTGCCCTGGGGGAGGGGGAGAGGTAGTCTAGACAGGAGAGCAATGAGAAGACTTCATCACTTCCTCTTCTCTCTGATCAAACTACCTGTGATACTGCTTTATAGTATGGAACTTCTGGATTCTGTTGGTTTGTTTGTTTTGCATTTTTGGTAGCCTATTAATTAATTAATATTAATGGTTCCAGGCTAGCTTGGAACTTACTGTGTAGCTCAGGCTGGGCCTCCAACTCATAGCAATTCTCTTGCCTCAAGTGGGATCATAGCTTGTTTGATTTAAAAACAAAATGTTTGTTTAACAGATAAGCAACTGAGTAAAAGATCATAATGGAAGTGGACAGGACAGATGGACAGTATGCTTGCCAGAAGGACAGATTGACAAGAAAGGAAGAAAGGAGAAACAGCATAGAGTCACTCTGTATTGCCAATCCCTGATGGTGTGGAAGCTGCAATGTTTTGGAAATTTCTGGTACTGAGAAAGGAAATACCAAATCTGAGTAATCTTCCTGCAGTCATACAACTATGGCTCTTTCTAAACCTTCCTCTGTCCTTGCCCTGGCCAGCCAAGGAAGTGCAGCAGGGTGGAGTCTTGTTGTACTGTTCCTTCCTGGCTCTGAGGAGCCCAAGTTGGACATTTCTTCAACAAACTACCTTTCAGTCCCCTTCTGGTTAAAGCTGGACCAACTATTGAAGGCCTCTAAAGTATAAGAGCCTCCTAGCCGCTCTGTTCCCCTGGTATAGGAGTCTGTGGAAGGACTGAGTTTTCTGAGCAACAAAGAGACCTTGTTCCTCTAAATTGCTTCCTCTTCTTCCAGGATGTTAGCTCAGTTGGTTGTAATATGTTCAGTTGGTAATGTGTATTTAGAGATGGTGTCTGTCATCAAAACTACTTAAAAGAGCAGAAGGCAGCATGGGCTTTGGAAAGTGTTGAGAGTTATTGTTGGAAGGTCTAGGTTAAACCTCTGATATACCAGTTATAGCCCACACAGGCTGAGCCAGTTACTAGCCTTACAAAAGAAAGAATATATGGCTCAACTAGTTCCACTGGCTGACAAAGACAGGCAATCCCAGCTTCTCTGGAGACTGAGGCAAGAAGATTGTGAGTTCAAGGCCAGCCCTAGTAACATAATAAAGCTCTGAAAAGGTAGAGCAGGGTGGGAGGATGTTTGAGGCTGGAGCTCAGTGGTTGGCACTGGCTTAGGCTGTGTAAGAGTCTAGGTTGAATCTCAGCACCACGAGCAGATGATCATGAACTTCACAAGTTTATGAGTCTCTTCGGATAGTGTACCAAGTGGCTCTGTATGCGAGATGCTTGGGATTATTGTTATTCTTGATAATTCTTCACATGTCCAGTTATGTGACCTCACACAGCTAGGGGCACTAGCTGGGTCTCAGAGACTAGGTTAGGTGCAGTGAGTGGGAATGGGGTGTCAGGCCCTCTGGAAGGGGCTGGCAGTTGGGGTGAAGCAATTGACCTGTTCAGATGGATATCTGTTCAGCTGGCTTCCCATCAGCACAGGCCAGGGAGCTGGCTAAGGATCAAAAAGAATTGAAGACTCTCACTTCCCTAAGAATGTTAGAGTCTACCTGGAAAACCCGCCTTCCACACAGAACCACAAGGCGTCCCGATAAAGCGATGGCTGCTCCAGCCAGAACAGAATTGACTGCATCGAGAGGGACTTTTCAGACTAAACATTTGTGGTCAGGAGCCCCATGGTGGATGTCTTTTACTCTTTAAATTCAAGTGTGGGCCAAGATATTGGAGATATTTCTTTTCTTTAGGATCCCGAGACTTCAGGTACGGTTGGTTCATAGACCAGTGTCAGCCAGAGCTTATCAAACAGAGAGTACAGGACTACTCTGAATCTTTTTGTTGTTACTCATATGTTTCATTTCACTATTACTTCTGGGGACCTAGGGGTTTTTTTCAGGGGAGTCTCTGTTTTCCCCAGTAGTTTTCAGAACTGTTAGAAAGGGAAGTACTATGTCCTGGTACTAGCAAAGGCAAGGCCAGGTGTGGTGGTGCACACATGTAGTCCCAACACCTAGAAGGCAGAGGCAGGTGAATTGGGGCAGGTTCAAGGCTCATCTGTCTATACAGTGGATGCTAAGCTAGCCAGAGCTACATAGCAAAAGCCTGTTTCTAAAAACCAACCAAACAAGCAAGCAAGCAAACAAACAAACAAACAGATGGGGGAAAATGAGTTTTCTATTTGAATTTTCTTCTAGTCTCTTGGGGGAATATCAAGGCTTCTTGTTTTATAGATTTGGAGCATAGTCCATGGGACAAGAATTAGTCTAGTTGTTGTCTTAAGTGAGGTATGGGCTGTTGGATTCTTTTTTTTTTTTTTTTAAAGATTTATTTATTATATATGAATACACTGTAGCTGTCTTCAGACACACCAGAAGAGGGCATCAGATTCCATTACAGATGGTTGTGAGCCACCATGTGGTTGCTGGGATTTGAACTCAGGACCTCTGGAAGTGCAGTCAGTGCTCTTAACCACTGAGCCATCTCTCCAGCCCAGGGCTGTTGGATTCTTGTCTGGGTTTACTAAAGAAACTTTTGTGGTTTACAGGGTGCTGCTGATGGAGATTGGAGAGAATTTGGACCAAGCTGATGTATCCTCCTTAATTTTCCTTACAAGGGATTACACAGGCAGAGGAAAAGTAGCCAAGGACAAGGTGAGTTGTCTTTTCTTGGTGCCTGTTCCAGAAATCCACCAGAAGTAGGCATGCTCCTTGCAATATGAAGACTGGGGAATGGGTAGCCTGCTGCCATGTTTTCAGGATTCAAACATCTGAGGTGTTTTTTCGTAATAGTGGTAACAAGAGAATTGTTTTTAATTGAGACTAGGTTGGTACTATCTCTTCATGTGGCCTTGGGTGTTTTTATGCTTAGATTTGATCCAATTTCTGTAAAATTGGCAGACCTGGCTTATATCAATTTTCAGATTTGACAGCTCTCTTCTGGGTTGGGCATCCTAGCTGCTTGTGTGGATTAGAGACCTGGAGCGATTGCTGGTCTGCTCTCTTCGAGCTTGCCCACCACAGTTCATTTCCCTGGAAAGCCTGTGGAGGTGGTTTGGTGTGAGGGGCCTGGGCATAGGTCCTTATGACGCATCTATCTGGGAAGTGGCTAGTGTAGAGTTAGAACTGTTGTAATTGTTGGAAGAGTGTTTCAATTGCTGCTGACCTCACCTGGTTTGCCTAAGCTATGAGTAAGCCAAGAAAAATCTACATCTCTGGTGGTGAAAACAGGTCTTCCTGGTAGATATTCTACCTTTAAGAATTTCCTCAGGCTCCTTCATGGTTATAGGAATATGGGAGAGCAACGTGTTTCCACATCAAATGTAGAATGAAGAAGAAAATGAAAACAGAAGTCCTGGGGGGAAAGGTTCTCTAATCAACTTCTGTCACTTATAAAGGACTAATTCCACTTATTATCTTTGTAAAATAAGATAACAGTTAAGTAGCCAAATGTTAATCATGTGAGTAGAATAAAATCCAAGCTTTTGAAATATGGTTCTTTAACAATCCTGGTGGTTGAAGTTGAATGAGTAAGAGAGCCCCATTCCTTCACATAGCCTCCCTCTGGGTCAGGATGCTCTGAAATGTTGAACATTAATGAAAACAGTTTTAGAACTTTCAAATGACATTATGAGGATTTCTTTTGTCAATCTCTTCCTTAGCTACATTTATTTTCTTTTCAGTAACCCCTCCCACCCCCACTCTGGGAATCCCTTGTAGTGTTTATTATAACGTCAGTCTGGATTTTTCTAAGAACATTGATCTTAGGAAGAGTTTATTCTTAGGCCTGATCATTCCTGACTCCATGTTGATATGAAACAGCCCTTGTATCTGTCTGTCCCAAACATGAGAACATGTTTATGACCAAAGGAGTTAACATAACAAACAAACAGACAGACAGATTCTCCTGTAGTCCAGACTGGCCTCTCAGTGTAGCAGAGAATGGCCTTGAAACTTCTGGTCTTCCTGCCTCTAGCTCCTGAGTGCTGGGATTACAGACGTTCAACCACATCTGGGTTATGTGGCACTGGGGATCAGTCCCGAGGCATCAATGCATGCTAGGCAAGCATTCTACACCTGAGCTAGAGCTCCAGCCCCCATCTCTTTCAGTCAATTTCAGAAGGGTTCTTTGTTCTGGGTAGAGCTGTCTGGATTGGGATAATGAGTCACCACCAGGTCTCATCTTGTCACCCAATGGTCTAGAATTTGTACTGGGGACTTGTCAGCTCCACTCACATGTGTTTCTTGTTCGTGGCTTTCTTAGAGTTTCTTGGATCTGGTGATTGAACTGGAGAAACTGAATCTGATTGCTTCAGATCAATTGAACTTATTAGAAAAATGCCTGAAGAACATCCACAGAATAGACTTGAAGACAAAAATCCAGAAGTACACGCAGTCCGGTGAGTAATTTTGGCTTCTCAGTGGTCTTTCGTACTTTACTCTGTGCACAGAAGCAACAGTCTGTGAAGATTCATTTGTTGGATGCATGGTTGAAACAGAACCCAAGAGTCCCAGCCCCTCTAGCCCATGTCAAGAGATCATATTCCTTTATAGCCTTCATAACGCAGTATCCCCACTCCACTGGCAAATCTCCTCCCTCTGAAAATTGCCACCAAACAGTCCTTAACATTCAGGTCTTTAAAGATGTCTGTAGCTCTGTTTTTAAAGGGCAGAGAGACTGTGAACATTCAAGACTTTGCAGGTTGAACCCTGTTGCCCAATTCCATGTTGGACCTGATGACCACCATCTACCTCTGGGTGGTGTCACTGGGTCTGATTGCTGTCCTATATGTGTGCTCTGTTTCACTAAACTGCATGGAAAAGGTTACTTTTAGTTTCTTTCTTTAATAAAGGGGGTCAGCCTTCACCCTTACACCACCTTACCTTGTAGCCTCAGCTTGCCTTCCCTTAGCAGGTCACTGTCTCTATAGGGTCATGGTGTAAAGGTCATGACTAAGACCTGCTAATCTACATGGAAACCTGTCTGAATGACTGATAAAGAATCAGACATAGGAATGGTGCTTAATTTTCTCTTTCATTTAAAAGTTTGGTGTGTGCATGTCCCCGTCCCCACACATGTGCACATGCATGAGCCCCATGTGTGAGTTGTTTCTTTCCTTTCACCATGTGGGTCCTGGTTGAACTTAGGTTGCCAGACTCGGTGGCCACAGCCCACCAGCCCTTTTAGTCATCCTTACTGATGGCAGAAGAGTCATCTAATTGATGTTTTGAATTCAGGCAGGTTCAGGTTTAAGGTATTTTGAAAGATGACGGTAGACTGGGACTGGTTGAAGACTCACGTGATAATTTATGAACCCTAGCCTCTTTCTCTGTCTTTGTAGGCCAAGAAGCAAGATCAAATATGAATAGTCTCCAGGCTTCTCTCCCGAAGCTGAGTATCAAGGAGCAATTCTATAACTCAAGGGTGAGTCTGGAGCCAGTGTATGGAGTACCAGCATGAACCGGTTTCAGACATGTAATAAAAATACATATCCCATTTCATGTGTTGTAATAGCTAAACAGATTCTGATAGATGTGTTTGATTACGAATGTGTGCAACTTCTTATAATTATAAACCTTGGTGCTGTTCAAAAATATATTTGGAGAATTTTATGAAATATATAATAAGAATATTATGTATGTTTCCATTACCTAGGCATGACTACCGTGGGATGCTTTCTTTTAGCATCTGTCCTGTGTGCATTAGCAAATGTGTCTGTTTATATAATTGAATATCCTTTTCATTCTTTGTTCTTTGAAGAGTCAACTTTTAAAATTAAAGCAGGTAGGATGTACCTATAGAAAGAAAAAGTTAAATGTTGCCAAAAAGCTTTTAAAGTTGTTTCCTTCCACGTCACAGAACTCACGTCCCACTTCCCACCCATTAAGGAGACTATTCTTGACCAGTTTCTTCTATAACCATGCACAGAGAATCTACCCACATAGAGTGTCTATCTACTTTTGTACAAGTGGTAGCATATCATGTCTGCTCTTCTGAACAGAGAATTCTTAGACATTGTTTTATATGGTTAATGTGAGATTGTTTCTATTTAATCATTAATTGTATTATTTTGAATGACACGCCACCACTTTATTTTCTCTTGAGACAAGAACTTACCTGCAACCCAGCCTGGCCTCAAATCCATTATGTAACCTAGGCTGGCCTTGAACTTGCTATGAGCCTCCTCTTGCCTCAGCCTCCTAAGTGCTGACATTATAGGTATGTCCTGCTCGTAGGGCTCATGGCTTCCATTTTCTGCATGTACTAAGATGTACTTAGGTCTTTCTTGCTGATGTATACATTGCCTTCATTCCTTTGTGACTAGGAACAATGCTGCAAAATAAACTTCCTGATTCTTATCTCTTTGTGCATTTGCTTTTAAAAAGAATAATTAGAAAATATTTTACTTACTTATTTTAATTTGCATGTATGCATGTGTGCCTGCATGAATTTATGTGTTCAGGAGCCCCTTGAGGTCAGTAGTAGATATCAGATCTTCTAGGACTGGAATTAAAGGCAATTGTGATTCACAATGTGGGTGCTGGGAACTGAACTCAGGTCATCTGAAAGAGCAGGCTCACTTTTTTTTCTTTTTGGTTTTTCGAGACAGGGTTTCTCTGTGTAGTTCTGGCTGTCCTGGAACTCACTCTGTAGACCATGTTGGCCTCGAACTCAGAAATCCACCTGCCTCTCCCTCCCAAGTGCTGGGATTAAAGGTGTGTGCCACCACCGCCCGGCGAGCAGGCTCACTCTTAACCTCTGAGCCATCTCTCCAGTCTCCCATTTGCCTTTTTCCTGTGTGTCATTTTAATTTGGCAAACTTTTTTTTTAACTGAGTGACACAACAGAAGATTTCTTTTCCTGGTTAATGATTATAAAGTGTCACATGGTTGTTTATGGTTCTGTTCTGAGGAGGACAGATCCTCTTGTGCTTGCTCCCTGGTCAGTCTTTTCTTGTGAGAAGAACAGTGGTATAATATTAACCTGACCCCTTTAAAGTTATGTGGACTTTGAGGTGGGCTTAGACTAGACTGGTAGAATTATAAACACTTCTATAAATGTGTATCATGAAAACATTTCTCCTGATTTATGAGCAGTTTCTCAGAGAACACCAGTGATAGGTAGCACTGAGCAATAGACTTACAAAGCTAAAATGGCTGTTCAGGAGTGTACTGCCCCACCCTCTACCAACATAAGGAGACGTGTCTAAAGCACAGTCTGTCCACATCTTCCTCCTGCAGGCCAGCCCAGCCCTGTGCTTATTCTATTCTTTCCCACTAGATATATAAGCTACAGTCATCCCTTGCTTAGGGACAGCTTTTAATTTGCCCTTCTAGTCTCCGTTACCTTTAGGTACCACCCTTTAGGGTTTTCTGAACTCTTTCTCCCACCGCCTGGGAGATTATTATAATGTACACTGTCATTCTTAGTTAAAATTCTTCCTATCTCCACCACTGTGTTCCCACTTTGCAAGTGCAGCATCTTCACTGTGTAGCCTGCTCGGCATCCAGCATGCTTTGTGCTTCCTTTCTCTACCACATGACCTGATCTCTCATTTAGTAAGCAGGCCCTAGGACATAGAAATCTGGTAACTTTCTCACAAGATTTAGGAACTGCATGTATAACTGCTCTGACCTATCTAAGGCTGCATAAGTGCGTCAGAAATTACAGCGGCATTACCTGACACAAGAGTCTGCAAAATCAAAAGAAGTTATATGACTGCACTATAATGCCTTTAAAGTCTAGCTTTGACTTGATCCCTTTTCAATAGCACCTAAAAGTCAGTGTGCATCTGTGTGGTGGGGTGGCAATGACCAGGTTCTGACTAAGTCATGGATTATTCCAGGGGTGGGGGAACCATAGCTTGCATGTTTTTCTTCAGTCTATACACAGATGTAATCTCAGACACAGCTTAATGGATAATGTACTTCTTTGGTTAGGTAAGTTGATCAGATGGTGGCAGGAAGTGATGTCATCTTACAGAAGTTCCCCCCTCTGGGAAGAGAGAAGGGTCAGTTTAGTCTTTCAGGAGTGGTTCAATTCTTGATTGTCATGGATCATACACACATATTCCTGTTTTTGTAGCTCGGAAATCATTTTTTTCAAAAGCCATAATTGGACATTATTTATCTGGTTTGTGGTGCTGCCAGCTGGACCCAGGGCTTTGGTTACAGACATTTATTAAGTGCTTTCATGAATGCTATACTGTGCTGGGTGTCTTTGAATATTTAAACACCATGAATACCCTTTTTAGCTGAAGCTGGTGAGATAACTTAGCACTTAAGACCACAGGCTTGATTCTCAGCACTCATATGGTGGCTCACAACTGTCTAGTTTCAAAGGATCTAATGCCTCTTCTGATCTCCATGGACACTAGGCACACACAGAGGCACATACATGCATGCAAAAACACTCATCTACATTAAAAAACAAAGCTACCATATATATGGTAGGTGCCATGCTATTCTTATCCTCATTTTCTTTGTAGTGAAGTTAGCAGATAAAGAGGAAAAGGACGACAAAGGTATGAGCCGGCAGAGTTGGGATTCATAGACAGAGGTTTATGACCTAACACTTACACCTGCAGTCAAACTGTGCTTTCTCTGTGTTAAAGGACTAGAATAGATGGCAGTCTTGGGTCCCAGCATATTCTAAGTTGGGACCTTATAACACCCATGCTGTACTGTAAGAGCTGGCTTAGAGCTGTTTTGAAGCACTATTCTATGTTTTCCACCTTCCTAATGTTTTCATTTTTTATTGGGAAACTGATTTGATCTTTGACAATATAGTGTGGAATTTACTGAGTTAACAGTTACTGCAGTTCATTTTTAGGTAACTGTGAAGGTGATATTTTTATTTTTTCCTCCCTGTGTAAAAATATCAAGCTATTTAAAGAGGTGTAACATAGTGAGCCTCTGAAGAAACTAACACAATGTGACCTTCTTTTTTATATTTGAAGCTCCAGAATGGGCGAAGTAAAGAGCCAAGATCTGTGGAACACCGTGGCATTCAAAGTAAGCCATCAATTTCTTTTATCTATTCTTTATAAATGCTTACTAATTTAAGTACAAGGAGCTGAGGTGTATAGTTCAGTGGTAGAGCACTTGCCTAGCATGAATGAGGCCCTGGATTTGATCCCCAGCACTGGGGGAAAAATTACACATTGTGGTGTATGGTGGTCCACGCTTATTGACCTAGCTGCTAGAGAGTTGAAGTAGGAGCGTCTCTTGTGCCCAGGAGTTCAAAACCAGCCTCCTTAGCAACACAGTGAGACTCTGTCATCTAAAAAAGAGAAAAAGAAAGAAAAGCTTCTGAAATGGTGCTTAACCACACCATGTTAAACATTAATCCAACAATGATAATAAGGCACATGAAACCAAATATCTAGCAGCAGGAAGAAGAAAGGCTAATCTGGAAACTCCAGGGAGGACAGTCTCTCTCTTCCATAAAAAGAAAAAAATGCAATTAAAAGCCTGTTCATTTCAACCTACATGGTCTTTTCTTAAAATGTCAGTACTTTAGCCATGGCATTCCCTGAAGTCTTTATTCATTTATTTATTTGTGTATTTATTTTTATATTTATACGTGGGGGTAGAGATAGAACCTTGCTGTGTAGCCTAGGCTGGGCTGGTACTTATGATGTAGCTCAGGTTAACTTCAAACTCACAACAATCTTCCTGCTTCAGTCTTCTGAGGGCTTGACTACCATGTCTCACCATGCCTAACTTAGAACATAATTTTAAAAAAAGATTTATTTATTTATTATTTTGTGTATATAAGTACCCTATCATTGTCTTCAGACACACCAGAAAATTCCAATACAGATGGTTGTGAGCCACCATGTGGTTGCTGGGAATTGAATGCAGGATCTCTGGAAGAGCAGCCAGTGCTCCTAACCTCTCAGCCATCTCTCCAACACAAAACATCATTTTTAAAAAAGCATCTCTTTGCTATACTGTGGCCTTTCTAAATTGAAAGTCAAGACTCAGACTTACACTGGTGAGGTGGCTTGTGTTGCAAGCCAGCAAGGGCTCTATGCCTCGATGAAGGGCAGCACGACCCAAGAGCCTTTGAATCTGCCGTGTGAGCAGTAGAGGGGCACGAACATGAGTTGGGCAGCGCCCTGATGGAAACCTTGTGGGTGCAGCTTGTGTAGCCTGCAGGCTGCGTGTGCTCCAGGAAACTGAGAACCATTTTACCCTGACTAGCCAGATGGTGCCGCTCCCCCTGCCGCTCCCTACCTACAGTTCTCTCCAGAGAAAACTGTTGAGAACGGAATTCGTTTCCGAAGCGACAGCCTGTTTCTTAAAACACTGGTGAGGTGGAAGAGTTAGCATTCTGAATGGTGTTTAAAGTTGAAAAAACAGGAGACCCAGGAGGCTTGCTTAGGAATGTAAAACCAACGTGTTCTTTCCACTGTGATCCTATCATGTGGTCCAGATGAGTACTTAGGCTCCCGCTACCTGGTGACACTGTAAGGAGAGCCACCTGTCTGCTTTGATCTGGACTTGACTCACTAATAAAACGAAAAGTATCCAATCAAGTCTGCCTTAAATTAAGAAGCTTAAGATAGTCAAGCCATTTAGGTCAGTTTGGACTTGCAGATGGCTCCTACTGAGAGATCATGGTGGTGGTGGTGACTACCCCCTTACCACGCTCTTTCTAAATCTTCAGCAGAGATGCCATGTCACACTCATATTTTCTAAGGAAGAATAATTTGAGTGCATGACTGCAGGCTATGCAGTCACAGAGTACTGTCTGCCACTCATCTCATGGGCTTTCTTTTCTGTTGCAATAAACACTGATTGTTATAACAGAAGAAAATCAAGCAAAATTCCCCCTAGTTTCGTGTATCAGAGATAGCCACAGTTAATATTTGATTTATTTTATCCTATTGTTAATTTTTATTAGAAATGGTCTTGTTACATAGGTAGGTCTTTAACAACCATCCTCTTCTAAAAGGCTGAGTGCCAGTGTAGGCCAACACACCCAGCTAGTGTTTGATTTATATGCTTTTATTTTCATTTTGCTGTTGGGGATTCAACCTAGAACCTCATGCATGCTGGTCAAGTAAGTGCTCACCCATTGATCCCACAATGGTTGATGTAAACCTCTTCATCTTTAACCCGGAGTATACACACATGTCCCTCAGTGTCTGTAGGTGACTTATTCCAGGATTCTCTGAGGGTACCATATTTTGCAGATGCTCAAGTCTCTTAAACAGCAAGGAATAGTGTTTGCATATAACTGTCCACATGTATTCCTACACTCCAGCCTTCTCTAGATTACTTACACTGCTTCATACAATGGAAATGCTGTAGCTTTTATACTTCATTCTTTAGGGGACGATGACAAGAAAATGTCTATGCATGTTATTTTGTATTAAGTCTGTGTTATTTAGTCATCCATTTTAATATACATATGTTGCATGGAATGTATAACAATTACTCTTAGCCTTTTAAACATTGTAAAGTATGCAGTCACATGTATCATAATTGACAATCAATTTTATGTTTGTGACTTTTAGGTTTTTCCTAGCCTAGGCCAGTGTAAACAGTTAGTCGATAGATGTCTTTGAAACACATTTTTCTAAATTTATGATTTATTATCTCCTTAAAACTTCTAAAAGTGCTGGGTGGTGATGGCACAAGCCTTTAATCCCAGCACTTGGGAGCCAGAGTTGGATCTCTGAGTTGGAGGACAGCCTAGTTTATAGAGCGAGTTCCAGAACAGCTAGGGCTACACAGAAAAACCCTGTCTTGAAAAGAAAAACAAAAAACAAAACAAACAACCCCCCCAAAAAAAACCCAAAACAAGCCCCAAAACAAACCCTGAAAACCAAACCACAACCCAAACCAACCAACCAACCAAATAAACTTCTAAAAAGCACAATTTATCTTAAAGGAAATTGCTAGTTGCCCCTTAGAAAGCTCGTCTCAAGGGCCAAGGAGATGGCTCAGTTGGTGAAATGCTTTCTACACAAGCATGAGGACCTGAGTTCCATCTCCAGCACCCACATAAAAGGCTGGACATAGTGGTGCATGCCCATAATCTCAGCACTGGAGAGATAGAAATAGGGGGATCCCTGGACATTGCTGGCCAGCCAGCCTATATGAATTAAGTTTTGGGTTCAGTAAGAGATTCTGTTAAAAGAAAGGAAGGAAGGAAGGAAGGAAGGAAGGAAGGAAGGAGGGAAGGGAGGAGGGACGGAGGGGGGGGGGCGGGGGCGCGGGGGGGCGGGCCGGAGGCCGGGAGGTGATTAAGAAAGACACCTGACATCAACCTCTGGCCTCCACGAGTGAAAGCGGGGTTGCTCTACACCTGCACACAAGCATGAATATGCACAAATGCACAGAGAGGGAGATGGGGAGGGAGAGGGCAGGGACAGAACAGGGACAGGGGCAGGGGCAGGGAGAGACTGGTTCAAAGCTGAGTGTGGGTGCACAGGACTGTGTAACCCTAGCACTCATTAGCCAAAGCAGAACAAGTTTGAGGCCAGCCTGGGCTACATACCAAGAGCCCACCTCTGAAACAAAACCAAACTTAAAACAAAACAATGACAAAAGCAAAACAAAAACAAACAGCCCAATTCATTTCCCGGAATCTTTCAGATGCTGGTAAGCCCCCCCCACCCCCCCACCCCCTATCTTTAGACACCATTTCTCACTTTGCAGCAGTCTTGGCCCAGAGATAATGAGATGACAGCTCTTCAGCGCTGAGGTGTGAACCAGCCCTTTCGTGGCTTCAGAACCCAGTGCTCCCCGCCGCTCCCCCGCCGCTCCCCCGCCCCTCCACCGCTTGGGCGGGCTAAATGAGTCACTGTTGTGGAGCGGAGCTTGCCGTGGGCTCCAGCACTTTCCAGGCTTGCTGAGCTCTGTCTTGCTGCTGACATTTTATTTTATCATCTCCCAGCATCATTGAACTATGAAAACATTGGCCATCTGCTCTGTGCAGAGCACACGTGCCGACGCTTCCCTCTCCTGCACACTCCAGCGCTCTTCCCTTTAGATGTTGTCCAGAGTTTTGGGCCATGTAGGAAAGTCATAATGAAGTGACATTTTTGAATTCTCCTTATCAGGTTAAAAACCTCGCCAGCCACCTGGTGGTCTCCTGGAAGAGACCTGCTACTTTCACTGGCCTGTCATGGGTTTTCTACATAGTCCTGGAATAACAGGGCTCTTGAGTTTGCCTTGGGTCAGTCAGGCTCTTCTGTGTGAGGTTAGAACTTCGGGCTGAGTCTAGCTGGAGAAGAATAGGAAGCTAAAGAAATGGGCAAGCAAAACAGTCTTAATAGAAAGAACTCAGCCAGCCTGGGAGTGGGCTTAGTTCTACTTTGTAAATGGTTCTCTCTCTTATCCCCCAGGAAACCTGGTGAAGACATCTATTCAGGAGTCAGGATCTTTTCTATCCCCGGTAAAGAATGAATTCTCTGATTTGGTACTGCATGCAAGGGTATATACCAGTACACTGATGCCTCAAAAACAAACAAACAGAAAAAAAAACAGCCAAAACTCTTCTTTAAAATCCTTTGTGACAACTGGGTGCTTGTGCATAATTCTCCCGGGAACTCAGTGAACAGGAAACTTGAATATAGCAAAGAAAAATTATGTTTAAGTGGAAGGCTTGAATGAGCTTTGGAATACATGGAAAGTCTAAGTGACGGCTCTTGTCATAACAACTGAACATAAAAGTGGGCAGTGCTGCTGTTGTCTGGCTTTTGTCTGGGTGACAGTGTCTTCAGAGGAGACAGAGGAAGGCATCCATTTGTACTGGCTTAGAAAGTTGATTCTTGGTGCTACTTTAGGCTTCCACGTGGACGTGCGACCCATCTTCCTTCTCTTTCAAATTATCTTTATTCTGCAAAGCTAAGACACATGTAAAGAAATTACAATTCTCATTCAAATTAAGTGAAGACTGAAATAGCTGTTTGTCTTAAGCTGATTACCATGACAGAGGAAAAAGTTGACATTACTGGGAAATGTTAGCTGTGATGACTTCAGGCTATGTCTGTCGGGTGATTCACCTGCCAAAGGGATGCTTAAGACAAACCAGAGAAAGAACGGATGAGTGAGACCTTAAGTCTCAGAGAAGTATCCAGCATCTCTAATCCCTGCCTTTCTTTCTAGCACATACAGGAAGAGAGTTATAGGATGCAGAGCAAGCCCCTAGGAATCTGCTTGATCATCGATTGTATTGGCAACGACACAGGTACGTGTAGAAGGCCGGGATTCACCTACAGCATGACCGTGACCAAGCAAGTTGGATTTGTCAGCATGGCAGACACTAACTGCGTATCAAAGTACACTCTATTAAGGTGCTTCCTTCTCAGCCATGTCATGGTCTAGTGTGGGATCGGGCTAGGGAGCTTTTTATGCCATATGATCAGCCAATGGTCCTGTCATCTTTTGAGGCCTTGGTGTCTTCTATAGGGTCCTCTGTATGTGACTGACAGCTATATAGAGATTGTATAGCAGATCTCGTCACAGATTTTAGAGAAAGTCTTGAGAAGGACGTGCCTCATCTCTGCCCACTTTCTATTGGTCAGTACTTCTGTGGCTTGAGCTAACTACAATAGACATAGATAAGTCAATGGAGGTATGTGTTAGGAGGAACATGAGATGAACTTGGGGAATATAATACAAGTTCTAAGTTGTGGAAGTTGGTGTGTCTTTACCTGTCTTATCTGTGTATCCTGGGTAATGTGGCTAGGGGTGGTCCTGGTCTGCAAGGGACATTTATAATGAAAGGCATTTTGGTTTCTAATACTGTTAGATGTTTCACTTCACCTGGATAGACCATGAAAGCCTTCTTTGGGGCCATTAAAAACACGTTAACGTCTGTGTTAACTTAGGGATGTGGATAGTGTTTGAGCCACATGTTACTCAGGTCTTTTCTCTGTTTGATCACCTGTAAGCCATCATCGTTTGGACCTGATTGTCTTGTTCAGTTGTTGGATGTGTGGTGTAGTCTGAATCACATCAAGAGAGAATGAGAAGAGCCTAGATGCTTAGGATACTGCTGCATTTAGTCATCTCTCCCTCCCTTCAGATGAGTGATCACTGTAGTTCATGACTTTTGTGTCTCTCAGTATTCCTCAGCATGAGTCAGAGAGATGACTCATTTGAAATATTACCACAGGGAGTTAGTTCTGTGAAAAGAGAGTCTAAGAGAAGGTTGAATTAGCAAATATGAAACTGGATTTCCCAAGATTTCAGCTATAGTCCCACTTTCTCATGTCCTATTTTGGTACATGAGAAATGTATCTCTTTCACTATAGAGAAGTGTCCTTTTTATTTGTGGTGGTTTGAATGAAAATGACCCCATAGGCTCATATATTTATGATCAGTCCTCTGTTGATAAACCATTTGAGAAGCATTAGGAGGTATGGCCTTGTTGGAGCATGTGTGACATTGTTGGAGGAGAGTGTCATTGGGGTGGGTTTCAAGGTTTCAAAAGCCCACACCAGGCTCAGTCTGCCACCTTGGATCAGGATGTAAAGCTCTCAGCTACTGCTCTGATGCCATGCCTGTCTGCTTCCTGCCATGATGATAATGGACTAAGCCTCTGAAACTGTAAGCAAACCTCCAATTAAATTCTTCCTTTATAACAATTGCCTTGGTCATGGTGTCTCTTTACAGCAATAGTAACCCTAACTCTTAAAGACACCATTTTAGCTATTAGCATCCATAGAAGAATGAGGAAACAGCTTCTCAATGAATCACTGAGTATTCTAAAGGACACTGTGGGATTGTCCTTTTACTTTTGATTGTGGTTGGTCTTGTTTCCTTCATCATCAGGAAATGTCTGAAATATAGAGCTTTCTGTGTTGTACCTATATTTATATTATGGAACTCATAAAGATCAAGTCACTACCTGCCGTGAACCCAAAAAACCTCAGCTATTCATGACTGAGCTAACACCCAGGGCCTGTGCTGCATTCTGTTCCTGGGCAGCTGTATTTCTATGTGTGCATAGCTGTACTTCTCCCATTGTGGGAGAGCATCAGAGTTGGGCCCTGGCAGTGACTGTCTGGATTTTAATCATTGCTCTGCTGTATCTTAGTCTGTGATGTCCCTGTTATAACATAGGTTCATAACAGAACTTCCCTCATGTGATGGTTAGCAGAGTGAGTGAGATTATACTCATAAAGGACATAGGACAGTGTCTGGAACAAAGTATAAGCTGATGTTAGTTTTCTTATTTTGTTCATTTGACTTTAGTGGAAAATGACTAAGCCATAACATAGCATGGTTTTGCACTTAGTTTATTGAGTCTGCTCTTAGAGGAGTAAGGAGAACGGAGGGCCCGAGGTCTGTACCGGGCTCCAGGGTAAGTGGGGTATATCTCCACATGGGGCATGGTGGGATGGAGCCAGTTACTTCAGAGGGAACAGGTTTCAAGTGGAAATCTCAAAAAGTGAGGTGAAAACACCTAATGTTGACCTCTGGCTTCAACACATGTGCACATATCCACATATATGAGCCCACATGCACCCCTCCCCCAGACACACGCATGCACAGAGTGGAGCTCCAGGCAGCAGATCCTCAGTGTAGTCCTTCCAAGGGCAACATCTTGAACATGGAGTGTGTTGGCTAGAGTGGGCCTGGCCTACAGTAAAGGACACTTCAGCTGTTCCTCCTCCCCGAGAATCAGGGGCCTCTTGACTCATGTGCTCTTTGCCTTTGAGAATAAAACAAACAACTGGGTTAGAGGTCACTTATGAATCCTCCCAGCTCAGGTGGCTGATCCGTAGGTAAGAAACAAGACGGTACGGGTTTGTTCAAATCGTGTTGTGCTTTGCTTTGGCAGCTGAGAGATCCCAGATCCCTCTGTGAGGCTCAGAACAACAGGAAGGCAGTAACCATCCCGAGTGGAAGGACAGTCTTCTCTCACACATTGCTGTATCTCCAGGTCTGTGTCTCCAGATACTTTCCCCCAAGGACTCTGGGGCCGGGATCGTGCTTTGCTGCAAAGCCTCTTTGGTGCTTCCTTCTGTGTTAATAGTACCAGAGCCCTTCACCCAGCGTTATCGTAAGGGATGTCCTTAGTCTAGTTAATTTTGCCAAGTGTCTAACATTTGGCTGATGCTCAGGGGTCAGATAATAAACAAGCAGACGATATAACTGCCAACTGAAGTGAAGGTTCTGAATGCAGCTAGCTGTAGCAGGATGGACTGACAATCAGAGTGTATCGCTTGATCGGATCCCTACCCCCCACACCGTGGCAGGTCCTTTGCTAACGGCTTGAACGGTAGTAGTGTATCATGCTTTTAGCCACTCTGCACGAATGTAAGCTCTACATGGCAGATGGAAGAACTTATGTGTCTGTTTTAACATGTGTCACAAGTGCCTGGCACATAGGTACTCAGGAAGTATTTTCTGAAGGTGGTTGTGTTGGTAGAATACCCTCTTCTAGTAACACTGTGTTTCAAAAACCAGTCCTTTAAAGTTTAGAGTTTAGTAGACTTATTTAGTGGACTTATTTTCTCCTTTTAGCCTATACACCTCCCCCCAAATCAGACGTTAACTAAAAAGTATACAAATCCCCTAAATATTTATAGGCATATTCTTTTCTTTGTCTGGTAAATGCTCATTAAGACTGTCTTACAAATGAAGCACCATGCTTGACCCTGCATGGAGCACATACTGGGGAGGAGTCTGGTCTCAGAGCCACTGAGAAAGGACATGGTTACTTTTTGGTAAATTATTCTTCAAAATAAGAAGAGTGACCTCTTCTTGAGGTAGATAGCAGTGCTGAAGGATTTTGGCCTCATTGTGCCAGTTTGAGAGAATTAAAGAATATATTCATGGTGTCCGGGTATCTATGTCAGTAACCTGACAGAGCCAAGTCTTGCTGGGTCCTGTATCCCACCTTGATCTTTTTAGGCATGTAGAAGCAAATGCCTCCAATCACTAGCGGGTGGAAGCAAGGCCTGGTTTAAGGCTCTGGCTCTGTGTGTTTGTGTGTGTGTGTGTGTGGTGTGTGGGGGATTCTGTATAAATGACAACATTTGCAGATTTTTTTTGTAAAGTTTTGTAAGACTTTTTTGTATATTTACTTTATTTTTTCCCCATCTTTATTTATAAAGAATACAACTCTGACACAGACAAAAATGGCAACACACTCCAAAGAGTCCATTAACAACCATAACAACAAAACGGGAGATCAGTGGGACGCCAGTTTACACCTGTCTGTAGCCCTTACTGAGGATACTGGGAGCAATGGCTTGGGTAGGATATCTCATCTCAAACACAGGAAACAACCCTTGATCTGGAGGACACGGTCACTCCACAAGGCAGAAAGCAATGCTTAGTCTTCAGCACCATCAGACTGTCCTGTTTCAGAGACCCCCAGAGGATAATGTGTTGTCAGTGGAGGTGGATGGTGCCAACTAGGCTCATACGTGGTGTCTCCTTGTAGGACTCACCACACCCAAGGTGTAATGTCTTGAGAGTTGTTCCCCTGGGCTTCACTGGTATCCTGAGGATTCCCTTGGCCTGCTTTCACCTCCTCGTCCCAGTCCTCATTAAAAACGTTGGCATCTTGTTCCACATGTGGTCAGAGCGGACCTCAGACGGCTTCCAGACAAGTTCCCCATCAGCTTCTCCTCCACAGCAAGGCCTTTCTCTTCCAAACCTGGGCCTTCAGCATGGGTGGGAATGTCATTAGGGCTCTGGGCGCCACTGGAGTTTCAGAGGTTTTGTCCATTACCATCAGGATAGGAAACATGGCAGCAGAAATCGCAGGTGTGGGTCCAGAGGAGTTGAGAGATACCTGTGCCCTGATCTGCAGGCAGAAAGAGAGAGGGGATGGGGGAGACAGAGGGGGGGGGGGGAGGGGGGGCAAGCAGGCACACATTTGCAGGTTTTAAAGGGGAAGTATTTTCTCCTCTGCTGCTGCTTCTGGTATCTTTGGTAAGCTTTGACTGACTAAGACACATTTAGCAGCAGACTTTGCAGTTTCTACTGTCGTGTTATGTGAAGAAACTTCCTCTTCTTGCAGTGACAGGCTAGGGGTTGCTCCGTGCCTCCTGATGTGTTTTTTTTTTCTTCTAACGGAACAAACGGAACCTTGTAGTAACATTTATATAAGAGGAACATTTCTGCACGGGAAGTAGACTGCTCACTATGGTCCTGCTCGTGGAGAGAAGGGGCAAGTGATATCCAAGATGGTAGCAGGAAGCTGTGTTCAGAGGAGCAGTAGACAAA